ACTTAAAAACATGTGATGCAGAATGAAGTAACATTACCGTTATATTGGCAATATCCCTAACTTATGCCGCACAGTATATTTACATTTTCTAATTAACCTAAAAATACAATTGAAAATTTCTATGTTTCCAGAGAAAATTAATTCATTTAAGTGAAATGGGAAGCAGACCTTTAGTTTTTACAAGTCTTCATAAAAACTGCAATATGTTCTTGTGATTTTTCACATTCTAATAGGATGTGTGTTAAATCTCCATATTTTTCACAGGTACTGTTTGGAGAGTCAGATAGATTCATAAATTCGTCTCTATTTTATTTTTTTAGAACTCTGCTGATTTTATCTGTATTACCAATTGATTTTTCTTTTTTTTTCTGAGTGTTAGGTTTTGTTTCGGACTTTCTGAGCCTTTTAATGGTAGTCATAGAGAAGCAATTTTCCTTAACTCTGTTTTAACTTTGTGAATGTCTTTATTATTGTGGTCCTCGTCATGGCAAATGTGGCCTTGCGAAAATGTCGTTAAAACGACGGTTTACATTTAAGATATATATCACTGTAGTAATTTTGCATAGTAATTTTATATTTTCGTCATTTAAACTTTTTAAATATTATGTATGGTCTATTGTGTTTTAAAATGCGATATAATATAGAAAAATAAAAATTAATGGTAACACATAAACAATTTTATTATTTCGTTATACTAATAATAAAAACTAATATTACAAAAGAAAATCTAGATTTTATCGTTTTTATTTTTTATTTATAGGTAAGCAGAAATTACTGTAAAAAACGTGGGAAAATCACTACATAAAGCGGTCTACCTGGCACAAGATCGCAGCCAATGGAGATAGCAAGCTATTTTTAGAGTATCATTTATCATATATCACAGAAAATTTATACTGGAATCAATCAGCCACAATAAGAACAGATCTTGGAGATGAACCGACGGAAGGGATCCAGATTCTGCGAGGCGATAGACAAGGATCTACACTTTCACCTATATTATCTAACCTATATTCAGAGGAAATATTTAGTGAAGCCTTGGAAAATTGCGAACATGGAATTCTTTTAAATAGAGAACGCCTAAACAGCATCCGCTATGCAGATGACACCGTTTTGCAGACAGTTTAAATAGTTTACAGCAACTAATCAACAAAGTAAATAAAGTAAGTGAAAGATTTGGATTACAAGTAAACATATCAAAAACTAAATTTATGGTCAACAGCCAAAATAAAATTAGAAACGAAAAGAAATAATATTATACTACGGAGTTGAATCCTGGACACTTACTGAAGCGATGGAGAAAAAACTTAAAAACTTCGAGATGTGGCTATTCAGAAGAATCCTAAGGATATTATGGACGGACAAGATAAGCAACGAGACTGTACTACGAAGAATGGGGAAAGAAAGAGAGGTGATGTATACAATTAAAAGGAGAAAGTTAGATTATCTCGGACACATAAGGAGAAACGACACTAAATACAGATTACTGAAAATAATCCTTCAAGGCAAAGTATAAGGAAAGCGAGGAATTGGGAGAACAAGAATATCATGGTTAAAAAACCCGAGGAAATGATTCTCCACAACAACTCATCTATTTAAAGCAATATAGCCAGAATGATCGCCAATATTCGAAACGAATAGGCACCAAAAGAAGAACTTATTTTATTCCGGCTTAGTCGACCTGTTAGATATTTTAAAAATATCTAGATGTTATCTAGAAGAAAATAGAGAAAAAACGAAAAAAAGTCGATTACATTTTTTACTTTAATTTCACTACTAACTCGAACTTTGATTGTAGATATGTGTGTACAAATTACAAAAAAGTCTAGTCGATTGGCTATGCCAAGGCCATAAAAAGGAAGGAAAAAAACTGTAAGGACACTTATGAAAAGGTGTAGATAAGTTTGATACTGGAGCAGGCAAAAACTGTCTAATCTGTGGAATGTAGAAGAAGAAAATGCTTAGAACATTTTTGTTGTATTTTCGGAATCTTCTCAACAAAACTGCACTCCTCCGTGGATTTTTTTCTCAATGCAATCCAATAACAGGAACCCACTCATAAGGCAACGCCTGGCAGATGAAATCAACAACGGATTAATGAATGTTAAACAACAAATTCTGCAAAATACTGAGACGGAGAAAAATGGTTATTAATAAAGACAGAAATAGATAAAAGTCAATAAGAAATTCTAATACCAACCAGATATAAAAAGAAGCAATGGATGACGGAAGAAATTTTAGATTTAATGGAAGAAAGACGTCAATATAAGAACAAAGAAAATCAGATGTACAAAAAAGTGGATAAACAAATAAAAAATACAGAACAGAATAGAACAACAAATCCGGGAATGCTGAAAGATGCAAATGGAAACTTGTGTTGAATTCTTTCTTCTTCAGGTGCCATCTCCGCTACGGAGGTTGGCAATCATCATAGCTATCTTAATTTTTGCGGCAGTAGCTCTAAATAGTTGTTTTGAGCTGCATCCAAACTATTCTCTCAGGTTCTTCAGCCATGAAATTCGTCTTCTTCCGATGCTTCTTCTGCCATCTATTTTTCCTTGCATTATTAGTTGCAGGATGCCATACTTATCGCCCCGCATCACATGTCCGAGATACTGTAGCTTTCTTTCTTTAATTGTAAGTTCAATTTCCTTCTCTTTGCCTATTCTTCTCAGTATTTCATTGTTTGTAACTCTATCTACCCAGGAAACCCTCATAATTCTTCTATAGGTCTACATCTCAAAGGCGTTAAGTCGTCTCATGGTATCTAGATTTAACGTCCATGATTCCACTCCATAATATAGTACACTGTATACGTAACATTTTGTTAGGCGTACTTTAAGAGCTAATGTTAGATCTTTGCCACATAGGACCTTTTTCATTTTTATAAAAATTAGAACGTGCTTTTTCGATTCTAACTTTGATTTCTGCCGTGTAGTCATTATTTTCTGTTATAAGTGTTCCTAGGTAAGTGTACTTTTTTACTCTTTCGATCTGCTGGCCCTCTACTATCAAGATTTCGTTAGTATTATAGTTGTTTTTACAAATTTTCATAAACTTCGTCTTTTTGACATTAAGAGAGAGTCCGTACTCGCTACTACACAAGACTATTTTGTGTTGAATACTAACAACAAATTAAAGAGATGGACAGAATACATCAATGAACTGTTCAAAGACAATAGAACAGAACAGATGGAGACAGAAGTAGAAGAGGATATGGTTTTAAAGATATTAAAAAAAAAATTAAAATGGCATTAAAAAACAGCAAAAATGGTAAAACATTAGGTCCAGACCAAATCCCTATAGAAATCTTGAAATGCGTGAATGATGAAACCTTAGACATTATAGTAGACTTATTTAACTCAGTATACAAAACAGGGCACATATCGAAACAATGGTTACTCTCCACCTTTTGTGCTAGCCCTAAAAATACAAACGCTAAATATTGCAGCAAATATAGAACAATATCACTAATAAGTCACATTCTCACATTATTCCTAAAAATAATATATGGTCGTATAAATAAAAAATCTGGAAGAAGAAATAGATGACAGTCAGTTTGGTTTCAGAAACGGACAAGGAACCAGAGAAGCGTTATTTGCTTTTAATGTATTAGCTCAAAGATGCATGGATATGAATGTTGATGTGCATGTTGTTACGTTGATTTTGAAAAAGCATTTGGCAAAGTAAGACATGAAAAATTAGTCCAAATTCTAAAGATAAAAAACATAGACCGTAGGGACTTACGAATAATAACGAACCTCTACTGGAATCAAAGAGCACAAATCGTAATAGATAACGAACCCAGTCTAGAAATTGAAATCAGGAGAGGAGTTAGGCAGGGATGTATTATGTCCCCATTACTATTTAATGTATATAGTGAAGCCATTTTTGAAGAAGTATTATTATCTCAAAGTGAAGGAATAATAATTACCGGAAGATCTATTACCAACATAAGGTATGCAGATGGCACTGTGATTATGGCAAGCTCTGTAGAACGACTCCAATTACCGCTAAACAAAACAAATAGTGTCTGTGAAAAATATGGACTTAAAATGAATACAAAAAAGACCAAATACATGATAATAACAAAGAAAACAAATATACCAACAAATATACATTTGGGAAATGTAACGATAGAAAGGGTTGATAAATACAAATACCTAAGATCCTGGATTTCAGACAATAATGATCAAACAACCGAAATAAGAGCTAGGATAGAAATAGCAAGAAATGCGTTTGTAAAAATGAAAACAATTCTCTGCAGCAAAGATCTTAGATTAAAACTGAGAGTAAGAGCACTGAGATGCTACGTGCTTTCGATACTGCAATATGTACTTGAAAGCTGGACATTGAAGCAAGAACATATAAATAAGTTACAGTCCTTTGAAGTGTGGTGTTAAAGGACGATGCTTAGAATAGCATGGACACAGAAGAAAACAAACACGGAAGTATTGCGAGAAATGGGCAAAGAATGCGAAATAATAAACAAAATAAAAATAAGAAAGTTACAATATCTGGGACACGTAAGGAGGGGACAGCGATATGAACTGCTAAGGCTGATAATACAGAGAAAGATAAGAGGAGGAAGGAGTATAGGAAGAAGGAGAGTGTCACGGTTGAAGAATTTAAGGAACTTCCAACCTCCGATTGGAAGACGGCACTTAAAGAAGAAGAATCCAATAACAAACGATCTGCAAAACTGTAGTAAATGTCCTTTTTGAATTAAAATATTTCGAACAACACTTTTTTTTCTCACCATGTAAGTAAACGCGATTGTTAAAAACTCTGTTTTAATTGTAAATATTAAAATATAGCTAATTGTAAACTAAATATTAAATATTCCACGAATTCTCAATATTAATATTTTATTTTTCAAAATAATAATAATTTTTACACACTTTTTGTACCTTATATTTTGATGAATTTTCATTAACTTTAAACACACTAATTTGACTTTCAAAAACACCGTTTTTTCAATCTGGAAAATTATCTTAACTCACCTGCAAGTACACAGCACAATGCTAGAAGCATTTCCAAAAAACTGAATATGTTGAACCTACTCATATCTTTGGTATAGAAATTTAAAATTTAAATTTAATAAAAGTGTAACTCATAAATAAACGAAAACAAACAAATTATAAATAAAACTATCAAATACTGACTCAGTCACTTCATAAACATAAATTATACTAAATCGACAATATGTACAAGTTTTTTGGTCGCGCACAAATTTCACGCTGTGCTTTGTATAAAATCTGATCATATTTTATAGAAAATCATCATCGTTAAAATGAGATAAAAAGTGTATTACGGCAAGGATGGCACGCCATTGGCGGCTTAGCCCGATGTAGCGGGGAGCCCCGTTCCCCATGGGGCGTTCTAAGAAGGGAATTGGTTCTTAGAGCCAAGGTGGTTCTTTTTTTCCCAGTCACCTGCAAGATTAATGTGTTCTAGTTCTAGTGACATGTGATCGGAACCGAACACGATTTATTCTTTGGCCTACTTTGTTCTTTTGTATTTTGTTTTAAAGAAAGAAATGGAAATATAAATAGAGCAAAATACTGTCCTAGAATTAAAATTTTCAAACATGACACTCTTCTTCTTCCCACACTTATTCCTCATCTTATCTCTCCATCTATTATCAATCTTAGCATTTCATATTGCTGTCCTCTCCTTACGTGTCCCAAATATTGTGACTTTCTTATTTTTGTTGTGTTTATTGTTTCGTTTTTTTTTCCCATTTTTCTCAATACTTCTGTGTAAGGACGTGTATTTGTGCTTTGTAGATATTAGAAAAGCATTTGATAATGTCACTCATGAACAATTGATAGATATTCTGCGAAAGATAGGTATTGACGACAAGGACATTCGAATTGTGGCAAATCTATACTGTGGGATCAAACAGCAAGAGCAAAAATTGGCAACGAACTCACTGAAAGTGTGCAGATCAAAAGAGGTGTCCGTCAAGGGTGTATATTATCCCCACTCCTATTTAATATGTATTCCGAGGAAATATTTAACAAATGCATGGAAAATGCAAACAAGGGCATAAAAATAAACGGCGAGTTAACGAACAATATAAGATATGCCGACGACACGGTGATCCTTGCCAGTACCATAGACGAATTACAACAGGTAATGGAAAGAGTTTATTCAGTTAGTGAGGAATACGGCCTAAGCCTCAACTTCAAGAAGACAAAGTGGATGCTGATAAGCAAAAAGCAACCACTTGCTCGACAATTACGGATAAGTAACATACTAATTGACCATGTACTTTTTTTACTTTATCGTGTCCGGACATGTCATTCATAAAATTTCGGCCCAGTATCGGGCTACGTCGGTTCCATCTTTGTAGGCGAGCCACAAATCTTCAAGGGTACATCGATGAGGACAGTTTCTGCATGTAAGAAGATGTTCCATATTCTGTGTTTCTCCACAGTCACAGTTCACATCATCTTGGTCTATTTTTCCCCATTTTGCCATGTTTGATTTTACTGTAGCAACCCCCGTTCTTATCCTATTCAAGGTTTTCCACGTTTTAAAGTCTAGGGTCTGGCCGGTCCATTGAACCTGGGGAAGTGGAAAATACTCAGGCGGTTCATCCTGCACTGTTCCAAGGAAGCTTTTCCTAGATTTTAGTCTCTTTCGTGGTGTTCGAGCTTTGTATAGGGCATGCCGATCGTCCGCGATAATTTTCTCTGTGTTCTGCAGCGCCTCTGCGTGTTGAACGTTCTGCAAAACCCGCTGCTCTATATAGATTTGAAAGTGGCATTGGTTTCATGCACCCCGTTACTATCCTGCACGTGTCATTTAACGCAGTATCAACTTGTTTGGTGTGGGTAGATCTGCTCCAAACGGGGCACGCATATTCAGCAGTTGAGAAACACAGTGCCTGTGCCGTTGTTCTTAAAACGCCAGGACGTGCGCCCCATTTACTTCCCGTTAGGTTTCTGAGTATGCTGTTCCTAGTTGTTACTTTCCCTCTTGTTTTTATGCAACGTTGTTTGTAGGTGAGGGACCGGTCCAGAGTTACTCCAAGATATATAGGTTGGTTTGTGTGTTCTAATGCATTACCATTCCACACAATTTGGAGTTTTCGCTTGGCTTCCTTTGTGCGAAGGTGCAAAGCGCAGACTTGAGTTTTAGAGGGATTGGATCTCAGAGAATTCTGCAGGTAGTACGCTGTCATTGTTTTTAAGACAGTTTCGAGTTTCTCCTCCACTTCTTCAAAACTATTTCCTTGAGCACATATTGCAAGATCGTCAGCATAGAGGAAGTGCTTGGTTTCGGTCGGAGTAGGTTGGTCGTTTGTGTATATATTGAAGAGCATTGGTGCTAAAACACTTCCTGTGGGAGGCCGTTTTTTTGAACTCTCCACCTACTTACTTTACCCTCTAGCATAACGAAAAAACGTCTATTTTGCAGTAAGGAATATACGACCTTTCCCAGATGGTGGTCATTGAGAATGTCGTATATTTTGCGGAGCAATGTTTTGTGCCTTACTGTGTCTTCGGCTGCTGTCAGATCTACAAAAGCAGCCCCTGTTATGACCATGTAGAATCTTATGTGTACCTTGGCACTAACGTAAATGCAAAATGGGAACAGGCCACAGAAATTAAGGCGAGAATAGAACGAGCTAGAGCAGCATTTAGCAATATGAGAAAGCTCCTCATAAGCAAGGATTTGTCTCTTCCCCTAAAACTACGTCTAGTTAAATGCTACATTTTTCCGATGTTACTGTATGGTGTGGAAGCCTGAACACTGACGGAGACGCTCAAGAGAAAACTAGAAGCATTCGAAATGTGGGTGTACCGACGCATTCTTCGTATATCCTGGACCGAACATGTCACCAACATAGAGGTACTCCAAAGAATCGAAAAGCAGAATGAAATCGTGAATACAATTAAATAAAGAAAGCTTGAATATCTAGGCCAAATATTGAGACACGATAAGTATTGTTTACTGCAATTGATTGTCCAGGGAAAAATAGACAGTAAGCGAGGGCCAGGCAGGAGAAGACACTCGTGGCTCCAAAATCTGCGGAAGTGGTTCGGGCTCACATCGGTCGAACTATTCTGAAGCGCAGCAAACAAGATCAGAATTGCCATGTTAATAGCCAACGTTCGCAACGGACAGGGCACTTGAAGAAGAAGAAGACTTCTGTGTCCATGCTATTTTGGACATCCTTCTGTTCACATTTCAAACAACTGTAGCTTATTTATGGGCTATTACGTCAGTGCCCACCTTTTATGCCCATCTAAGGTCTTTATTGCAAAAAATTGTTTTTATTTTTACAAACGCATTTCTTGCTCTTTCTATTCTCACCATTTTTTGTTGCTAGACCATTATTATCTAAAATCCAGGTTCCCAGATATTTAGTCTTTTTTATACTCTTTTGAATCCACATTTTTCACAAAAACTGCCTCTCTTGTTGTACTTGAAGTTGTTCAGCGCAGCTTGCCCTAATCAGGGTGTTATCTGCAATCTTATGTTGTTATTAGTTCTTCAGTTAACTATTATTCCTTCTATATATACATTGAGTAGTAATGGAGACATAATACATTCCCGATGAACCCCTCTTCTGCTTTCAATATCTGAACTGGGTCCATTTTTTGTTACAATTTATGCTTTTTGATCATAGTGAAGGTTTGTTATTATTCTTAAGTCCCTTTTGTCTATGTTTTTTGTCTTTGGAATTTGAACTCATTTTTTAATGTCTAACTTTGTCAAATGCTTTTTCAAAATCTACGTATCAAACATGCACATCCACATTTATATCCATGCACCATCACATTAAAAGCAAATAACGCCACTTTGGTCTGTAGTCCGTTTTTGAACCCAAACTGACTATCATCTATTTCTTCTTCTAGTTTTTTATTTATATGATTATGTACCTATTAAGAACATGACAATTCAAGAACATGACTTATTAATGATAGAGTTTGTATTTTTAGGGATGGCGCAAAAGGTGGAAAGTAATCATTGTTTCGGTATACGAGGAGTAGACTTTCAAATCGCACTTTGTCTATGTTATTAATTTACCTACTTCTAAAAATTCTAGGGATAATATTTCACATATATTTTTGGCTTCAATAATTACCTAGACAGTATTGATTACAATTTGTTCAATGCACATGCCCCAACTGGTGACAAACCAGAGGAAATAAAAGAACATTTCTTCGAAGACCTAGAGAACGACTACAAAATATGTCCCAGAAATGACACTAAGATTGTATTAAGTGACGCGAATACAAGAATAGGACGAGAGCGAGTTTTCATGCCCACGATAGGAAAGCATAGCCTACACAACATCAGTAGCGATAATGAATTACGACTGATAAAATTAGCAGCATCACTAAACATGACAATGATAGCACCCATTTTGAACACAAGAACCTACACAAGGTAACCTGAACCTCTCCTGGTGGAAGAACAACTAGTCAGATTGATCACATCTTAATAGATGCAAGGCATGAAACAGACGTAATCAACTGCAGAAGTTATAGAGGAGCAAACATAGACTCTGATCATTGCCTAGTGATCTCAACATTGAGGGCTAGAATTTCAAACACCAGTTAACAAAATAAAATAGTAAAATAACCAGGTATCGAAAAACATATTAAGGTAGGATGCCTGAGGTGGATAGGGCATGTAATGCGGATGAAACAAAATGACCTAGTTAAAAAAAAACGCTCCTTGATAGATCCCTTGGTCAAAGAAGAAGATAAAGACCCAGCACAAGGTTCCTTGATAACATCGATGAAGACATGAGAAATATGAAAATACGTGCTTGGCGGAGAAAGGCGATGGACAGGGGTTACTAGAGAGTAATTTTTGAGGAGGCTAGGACCCACACAAGGTTGTAAAGCCAGAATAATGATGAAAATCACAAACAAAACGCTATATTACAAACAAATAGGGACAAATTTGGACAAAATGCGATTCATTTGCTTTGCAATGCTTTTTTACCGTGTATCTACTTTATTTTGCTCTCTGAGGAGTAGGCACGGAATCAAGAGATTCATATGTTGTTCGTCGACCTACGGAAAGCCTACGACAGCGTTCCACTAAAGAAGCTCTGGCAATCAATAGAAAGCACGAATATTAATATAGAATTAATAAAAGCCATCAAAGTGCTATACAACCAATCAATAACAAAAATAAAAGCAGGAACACAAAAAAACAACAGGATCTATAACATCAAAAGGATTAAAGCAGTGAGGTTGTTTGTCTTCCACTTTATTTAAAATATA